GGTGAGACAAGACGTGTTCTGGCTACGCCTCCCGGTTTTAGCAGCCAGGCCGAGTCTGTTTGGCCCTGCTCCCTCCCCCCCTGCTATATCCCAAACGCTCTACCAGCCTTGTCACAATCGATCTATTCAGCAAAACATCTCTAGTGATTAGTAAACCATTGATTATCGAGCAGTGTTCCTATAGTGCACTTAAGGAAAAGCACAAAAGCACAGCAGTGTGACTGGACCCGACCTAACCTGACCGGGACTTTCTCAGCAAAACATTCAAGTCATCAGTGCAATAAGTGATTATCATACAGTGCTCCGATAGTGCACCCCAAGGAAAAGTCAGACAGTGGGCACTTTATCGGTCACCTTTAAAGTGCCAGTGACAAGGACCACCGCGGTGTTTACATATATCGTGAAAACTGTGTCGGCGACCCCAAGCACCAGGGACAAAGACCCACGGTCTTTACGACTGACAAATATTAACAGATGTCTACCAGTGTCAGTGGCCCTCAAAGTGCCGCCAGTGAGTTTATGTCCACCGGGGACAAACACTTCCGTCCATCCACAACAACAGATATCAACAGATGGCCACCAATTACTTACTCCCGACGCTCTCTGTACCTTCTAAAGTGTGGGAACGGTTATCCTGATGGCAGTGTTATCGCTCGACTCGAGTCACTGAACATATTCCATGTGCGCAGCCGTAGACAAGGCCGTCATACACATAAGCCCATTAGGACCGTAACCCTCGCTAGGAAACCAGAGAAACCCACCCCTGACAGACCGTACCATTACACTGAAGTTCCACGGATATGGTATGATCTCCCGTCTCTACTGCTATCCAACGTCACTTCCCTAGCTAACAAGTTTGATGAGCTGGCAACCACAGTCAGGTCAGCCGCTGCTAGCGTCGTTGCCATATGTGAGGCTTGGCAAATTGTGCCTGAAACGTGTCATATTGAGGGATATCAACTCTTTCATCACCTTTGTTCACTCACATAGACGCGGAGGGGGGGTTGCCCTCTTCTGTCAAGATGACCTACGCCCGTCACGCCTGGATGTTCAAGTCCCAGCAGATGTGGAAGCATTATGGGTACGTGTTGTGCCACAGGCCCACCCGAGGCACACTGCTTCCATCATAATCTGTGTGGCATACCACCCGCCTCGCTCACCCACCAGAGACACTCTTATCAATCATCTCATTACCACCTCAGACCACCTCAGAGTTAGGTACCCATGTGCCAAGTTAGTATTATGTGGGGATTATAATGAAATTGACACCACTGATATCCAGGACCAGCTGAAACTATCACAAGTTGTGAACTTCCCCACTCGCGGTCAAAACACCCTTGACCTTATCTAAACTGACTTAGCGGACCAGTACCAACCACCTCAACCAATGCCTCCTATCGGGTGTAGCACACACTTATCAGTGCTCTGGTCCCCAGCTGCCACTCCCACTCTAGTACCAAGACCCTACATCAAGACCTACAGGCCGATTACTGACTCTGCAGTGCGTCTCTTCGGGCAGTGGATAGTTCACCATCCCTGGACTGAAGTACTTAGCGTGGATGACGTGGAAACCAAATGGAAAAATTATACCAACACAACCACGGAAGCTCACCACCACTTCTTCCCCGAGAAGTCCGTCAGATCTCACCCAGCTGACTTGCCCTGGATCACACCTCTGATCAAAAGACTTATGCAACAGAGAGACAGAGCCTTTCATCTCAATGACCACATCCACTACAGGTCCCTTCGCAACCGAGTCATCCGCGAAATACGCACTGCAAACAAGTCTCACTACCCAACCAAATTGCAACACCCGAAGCAGACCAACATCAGTCAATGGTATGGTGCTTTTTTAAGCATTTGCCTCCAGGTATAATGTTAACCTACATCTATTGAGGAAAAATCTTTTCACCTACAAATTGACAATAACACATTTGCTGTAATCAGACATATCTAGTTGCTCAATAATTGCAACCCCAGTTGCAATTGAGGTAATTTCAAATTCTGTGTCAATTATTAGGGATAGTGAAGTGTCTGGTGCACTCTAAGATTAAGAGAGAAACGAAGGACTCAGGCGTCCTGATGAGAGAGAAAACGGACTTGTATGATGGGGAACCAAATAAAAAGCATAGCTACATGTTTTGTGAACTACAGTATTAAGCTGCATCTTTCATCACTTTGTAATAAACCTAGCCATGCCTATGTGTGTTTATGATATTTACCATAACATTATATATATATTTAGTGGGTATAAATGGTCGTAAAATGAAACTTGGGGTTGGGTCTTAAGTGGGAACCAATTAGAATAAATCCATAGGTTCTGTACTTTTGTTATCGCGTTTTCGTTATCAGGCACTCATGGGGTCCCATTAGGCGCGATAACCAAGGATGATTGTACTGTACTGTATATACTTGTGACATTGGCCAGTTGCTTGGTGTTATGGTACAGGGGTACCAAGTGACAGCACTAGGATCCCGCTTCTCTATCAAGGAATAAACTAAAATATAAATTGAAAAAAACATTCAAATAATGGGACGCATAACCTAAATGGCCCTAGAGCGGCACAGTCATGTATGCATCATCGCGTATTCTTATAGATTGTGCTGCCAGGCGTACGTTATCTAGTGAATTTAGTAAATATTGTACAGTAACAATGGACCTAAGTACAAACCTGTATTGTACATGTACTAAATGATTACGTACTAAAATTGTTATGTCTATTGCAAATATAGCTTGTTTATACAGGTATTCAAATAAATTACTATCTTACAAGAATCCCACCAATATAAGTTATATTCACCCAGGTCGTTTGGGTGGCAAATTATGAGAAGAGCTTAACTACTTAAGTAATGATAAATAAACACGCAGGCAGGCCTTCAGCCAACTGTCAAATCTTATCTCAAATAAATAAACAAACAAACGCCAGACATTCTGTCACCTCACCTCCCCCCTTCCCCTTGCCCCTCGCCCCACAAGCCTCCTGCTACTTCCCTCCTTGTGTTCCCAGACAAAAGATTGGTGATTTCTTGTGAATTTTATATAATATCTCAGACTAAAGTTAGATAATATAATTTGCATTGCTGAAATCCTTGCAAGACAGCCAATAATTTGAATATAAACGTCATATATTTTGCTCAAGAGATAAAAAATTTTTGTATATTAGTGTACACAGTACTGTAGTACATTTTATAAAAAGTTTTTCAACTGTATCTTTGGGTAGATTTTACATAGATTTCTTCATTTATTTTCATCCATTTACATGCACACACCATACTAAAAGAAACGAATAGAAATAAGTGACGTTAGTGCAAAACTGCAGTGCAATGTACTAATTTGAATACGGTACTTAAATTGTTTTGTCGACAAATTATAGCATGTTTATATTCAAATTAATCAGTATGTTACAAGAATCCCAGCAATGTTAATTATATTCACTCCAGGTCATTTCACTGGCTTTTATAAGAGAGAAGCTTAGTCATTAAGAACTGATAAATATACAGGTACTTGCGTAGAACCTGGCCGTGCCAACTGTCAAACGTGACTACCTTCCCCCTCCCCCCCAAGCTCCCTCGCTTCCTCCTCCCTCTCCTCCTCCTCCTCCTCCCTCCTCCCCCAACTGCCCAGCATTCTGGAACCTTGTAAAACAGTGAATAATTTTAATATAAACGTCATGTATTTTGCACAAGAGATAATTTATCACCTGTATCACATTACAGTAGTGATTTAAGAGTAAAAGTGTATATGTAGTATATAGTATTCCAATACACGTAAGTATAAATAAAAGTTTATGTGATGATCGACAACGCCCATTTCGTTAACGCCACGTTTCAAGAATGTATCTAGGACATTAACCGGCGATGACTGTACAGTGGTCCTCGGTTAACCAACGCCTCGTTAACAAAATTTCGGTTAACGAATTACCTTCCATAAGAATATTAAATTTAGGTTAACGAAAAAAAATTCGGTTAACGAGATTCTTACGAAATCATGTCAACATGTTTTCGCTTGCTCACCAGCTGAAATATTAGTCCACCAATACAGTAATCGGTTCTTGGGCTTAAATTCGTTCCCATTTGAGTAAATATCAAGAAGGTTGTACTGTTCAATAATTTTCCAAGTTTTATATTAAATTTTTTAGTCATTTTAACACATATTTAACATAATTGCAATACAGGAAACTAGTTTTTGGTGCGCCAATCAGCCACTTGACTCACCCACAAAGGCGTCAGTTTGTATCTCTGGTCAGTGGAGGTAACATCTTGCTTGTGGCTCTCTTGAACATAAACTATTTTTATGTTTTTACAGTACAATTATTGGTCATTCTGAAATTTATTTTACATATTGACAATATATAGTGCAGTGCAGTGTTGATTTAAAGAAAATAATCTTGAATTACACCGAGTGAACTTAAAATTTTATGGGTGAAATGACGGCATGAAGCATGGGTTATTTCTCTTCCACCCCCACTTCCTTCTCTTCTCCCTTCTCCTCCACCCCCACTTCTAATTCTCATCATCAGCATCATCAACCAGGAGCCTTCTACATACATACCTCAAAGTAAGTGTACTTTACTGCATTTATTTTTACTTTGTATGTAATTTTCGGTGAGCTGGAACCAATTACCCAAAATCCCATTGAAACAATGGTTTCGGTCAACGAAATTTTCGGTTAACGAACGACCTTCTGGAACGAATTGTGTCTGCTAACTGAGACCTTACTGTAGGGGAGGGAAGTGTAGCAGAATTTAAAATACAGTGCACTCTACACCTCTCCTCTAGCACACACACTAGACTGAATTATCTCTGCCAGAGGTACGACAGCATTTACCAAGGATCTCCATCATGCATCTATAGCGGATAGTTTTTTAATACTGTACAATTATTTGTATCTCGTGGACACAGCTAGCGAATACAAGACTATGAGCGTAGCAAAACTTGTCAGATATTCCAGTTGGATTCAAGACCGTGACAGTGTTAACATAGAGTAAGTAAACACCCACCTGGTTGAAGTCCAAGTACCCCTGGGCAGGGAATCCTTTGCGCAGAGTTTGTTTAAATCCTTCTGCCAGTTGGGTCTCGATCAGAGTCACAGCATGATTCAACATGGCACATACACCATCAACACTGTTTGATGCTATCGCTCGCCTGGGTGATGACAGTATTAATGTCATTATTATTTATATATAATTATGATCCATATTTGCTCATATAAATTCACTTTAAAATAGCACAAATGATGATGTTTTAATATCGTAAAATATAATAGCTAAGCATACCTTACACTTTTCTTCACAATATAGAATGCATCATCAACTAAGGAAGATGTATTAGCAGTCTCCTCTACAGTGTCCATAGCTAATGCCTTCTTGAAAGACTCATTAAGATAAAACTGTTCCAAAATAGTATAATCAGCAACTATAACAGCCATGTCGCACACCAGTTGAGAACGTAAGAGTTTCCCTTCAAAAGCTGCCTCCTGTTTATCACGTTCTGCCTTGTGTGCAATGGACGCCTCAAAATCAGCCTGAAATATAATATTTAAGAGTGAGAAAACAAAGACCAAATTAATATTACATATATTTTGTGTCTATCATGTTTAAATAGTTATAAATAATTTAATTATTCTGGAAATTCCATTACTGTACCAAGACAAATTTATGACAAGGAGACTTATGTAATGCTGACAAGGTCACAACCCAAGGAGAGCCCCAGAACAATATTCTCATCACCTGTCCAGTTTAGTGATGTTAAATTATGAGGCATAAACACACAACTGAGGCCACCTTTATTAAACCATATTATTATTATTTTCAATAGTCAACAACTGTACAGTAATGTATTTTACAGTTAGTGTCTCCAGTAGTCTACCAATCCCAACACCAGAATTAAAAATATGTTATTGCTTTTTACTAACCTTAAGCCCAGGGTTCACGCCCGAACATCTCTACCAGGGGAGCTCCTGCCCACGCTCCGAACATCTCATTAGGAGCCTCGCTGACGCTTCCAGAACATCCTTCTAGGAGTCTTGCTGACGTTCCGGAGCATCCTACAAGGGAGCCCCGGTTGACGTTCCGGAACAGGCTACTAGGGAGCTCCAGTTGACATTCCGGAACATCCTACTAGGGAGCCCCGGTTGACGCTCCGGAACGCTCGCCTTTTCCGGCCACTGTTTAAATGCCCAGTGCAGGTTATCAGGTTCCAGTGTGACTATTTGCCTGTCACACCACACCTCGGCCACAGGGAAGCTTCCTGAACATAATTATCTACTTTTGTTTGTTTCATTTTCATTGTTTGTCCATTTTATCATGTTGTATCAATGTAATATTGCTAAAAGTAGTGTACAGTAGTTGTATTGCAGTTTAGTATTACTGTAAAACAATGCTATGATTATGTTATAAATGTATTTATATGTGGTATTATTATTCCGATAATTATTTATGTGCATTACTTGTTCTACCAAACACAAAGACAGCCAGGCAGACTAGCGACAGACTGCGTGTGTGTTGCCAAGCACTTTTTATGAAAAATAATGCAAATAAAATATTCTAAATGAATTATTTATAGGAAATAAGTATTAAGCTCAGTAAATATATACATTACTGGCCATCCTAAACACAAAGGCAAGCAGAAAATGGTAGATAGTAGGCAGCTATCAAACAGGTAAGTAATGGGAAGATATTGGAAGCATAATGTGTTGTTTAATGGTAGACTCTGCTGCCATATGTGACCAAGTCCCAGGTTGCTGGTCTGACTTTCTGCCTCATTAACACACAACTGCAGGGTCTCAATTGTTTCTCTGACAACACAACACATCATACATATATTGTTTCTCACTCTTGATCTTCTTCTTTTCATTTTGTATTTATGTTTTTTTATTATTATTTTCAATTGTTATTATTAATTATCATTGTTATTATTACTATTCCATTTTTATGTTTAATTATACTTTTATCAATTATTATTAAATATTATTATTGTTGTTGTTATTAATATAATTATTTTTATATTTTTGCTCCTTAGACCCTGATGTGTGTAAGTGAC